GTAGACATGGGCAGGACTGCACTGTCGGCCTGCTTCCACACTTAATTTTGATCGCAAAAGAGATGTTGGAACTCAAACCTTCCTGAACGTTTTACCAGCGCCACTCAAGAGATTTTGCTGCCAGAAGCACAGCGACAAACAGCACCTTCCACCCAGACATTAGCAGCAGGAGACGTTGTGCAGAAGGCCGGACATATTATTTTGACACCTAAGGCAGAAAACCCCGCAAAGATTCTCCCTACCTATGTCAATTTAAACAACAACTCCTGCACCATCAATGAGAAGCTAAACAGATCATATTTTGCTCTCTGTTCCCTTTTCACAGGTTGACCATCAAATATTTAGTCTTCAAAATTCTGCGTGGTTCCTTGCTGTTTGACTGCCCCTTCCCTAAACTTGCATCATGAGATACGAGTCTCGCTATCCTAGAGGTAGAGCTTGCCTCAAGTCATGTCTTTAACCCAGCGGGCCATTCCTTCTAAGCCCCACTCAACCTTGAAACGAGGGATCTGCAGGCCCCTCCCAGGACGGCTAAAGATAAAACAGGGAGGTAGAGGCGGAAAAGACCCGCTCGATCTTCTTGTACAAAAAGGCAGGATCCAAAAGTGACAAAAGGTGAATTTTGTCATTGGCTAGCATTTGGACCATGTCGTGAGGCTTACATGCCATCAAGTCACTTCTAACATATGGCAACCCCATGAATGAGTGGTTTCCAAAATCTCAATAGCCCTGCTCAGCTCTTGTCGACTCAAGCCTTGGGATGAGAAATTACTTTGTGTGTGCTCAGAGGCTTCTTTCTTACAGCCCCAGCATTAGGATTAAGCAGTGAAAGTAGTCTTCAGTTGAGCCCTGGCTCCTATTCAAGCTGCTCTGAGATATTGGACTACGTAGCAGTTTTAAAATCATTTTTTTAAAAAAAGCTTGCTTGTATTTAAGCCGCACCGAAGCCTCTAAATCCTGCCCATCTTCTGGAGGTATTTGGAGCAGTCAAGACTCCTCTCTTAACCTCACCTGCTCTGGTTCAACAGGCTCCAGTGCTCTCAAAGTTAATGCAGGGGCTCCCCTTTCAGATCTTGCAGGGAGCGCTAACCATTGCAGACACAGCCACCCAGCGTGGAGAGAGGCGAACGGAGCACAATCCAACTTCCAGGAGAGCAGAGAAGGGACCCCACACACACACACACACACACACGCACACACGCACGCACGCACGCACGCACGCGCGCGCACACACACACACACACACACACACACACATACACACACACACACACACACGGTAAATGCCTGGATGAGGACCAGGGTGGCTAGCTTGATGACGTACGAGGATCCACACAACAGCTCTCACCATCTCCTTAGGAAAACCATGGCAACCAACACAAGCCTAAGGTCGGAGCTGTCAGCAAAGGGAAAAAATCCACACGTCCACACACCACTCTCTCTCTCTCTCTCTCTCTGTGTGTGTGTGTGTGTGTGAGAGAGAGAGAGAGAGAGAGAGAGAGAGAGAGAGAGAGAGAGAGAGAGAGAGAGAGAGAGAGAGAGAGAGAGAGAGAGAGAGAGAGAGAGAAAGCACATGTCAGCCTGCATGTTTTGCCGTTAGGCACCTTCCGCCTGGCTCCTGACAAGCCTGGCTTGCTTAACTCACAAAAGAAAGAGGTGAGGGGGGCTCACAGCCACCAGAGGTCCGGCTGTCAGCTTGTTTACAACAAGGATTTCAATAAGGTCAATGCTTAAGGGTCAGGCGGCTGATTATTATTATTATTATTTTAAGGACAGGTCAACAGCTGAGAGCACAATATTTCCATGCCTTAACATTCCCATTCAAGAAACAAGGAAAGCAGATTAGGTGACTTGCCCAAGTCTGTCCAGTAAGTCCATGGCAGAAGGAAGACTTTGATTCTACCAACGGCCTGCCTTTCCCTGAAGTGACCCTGTTCTTCCTTGTCAGTCTGTTTTTCTCTGCTTAATGTTTGCATGCCGTGCAGGTAAACACAGAGAATCACTATTATAATAAAGTGGTCATCCTTAGTGCAGGAGTATTATTATGGTAAAATGCTTTCCCTCTGTCACTTGTAGGGAGGGCATTTGCACCTTTAACAAACACACCCCAGACAGGAAGCCATGGTGGTTTTGTTTTCCCTAGCATGAGAATTGCAAGAGGAGGAGAAAGCTTCACCTGTTGAGTTTCCACAGCAGGTTCAAGACTCCAGAAGCTTTACCAGCAAAAAAAGGTGACAAATAAAATCTCTCCTGGAAAGAGAGCGCTCTGCTCCTAATGCTCTTCCCCTCTGGGTTGACTGTGTGCCTCACAATCGTTCTAACAGCGTGTTCCAGATTAATTCTGGAGAACCCCAATTGAGACTAATCCCTGTTAATCATCCTTTGGGAGTCTATGGATTGTGGCTTATTAAATGACCTGCCTCCTTCCCTCCTCCTTTTTTTTTCACTACATCATGACAACAGCGTATGCCTGTACGTAGGAAGGACAGAGAGCGAGAGGATATTCAGTGTTTACTTCAGGGCTGAGGAGGCTGCAGCCCTTGAGATATTGTTAGACCACAGCTCCCATAATCCCTTATCCCAGGCCAGGCTAGCTAGGGCCAATGGGTATCGGAGTCCACTAACCTTTAGGTAACTACAGGTTCACAACACCTGATTTAATTTCTAGAAAAAGGAATACCAGGTATTTGGGGAGAAGTTCCAACACAACATAAAAATGTCAGCTGTAGGAAGGTCTGGGTTCAAATTATGCCACAAAGCTCCCAGGATGGGGTGATCTGCTGCAAATCGTAACTTCCCACCTTGATTTTAGCATGCTGGGTTGTTGTTGCAAACATAAAAACATGGGGAGAGTGAGCCACATGGACCTAGAAAGAAGGTTAGGAGAGAAATGTTTTCCCCATCTAAAACATAAGAGATGTGACATAGAGGAGTGCACTTGTTACTTGCTCAGAGGCACTCTTGGAATTGCATTCCTTGTTTACAAAGCCAAACCCTAGCATTGAGGGCAGACAGGAGATAGGCTGGCCATAGAGTGAGCTGGAGAAGGTCAGGCTTTCTAGCGGTGTGCACTGTGTAGAATAAAAAAAAGTTCTGCCCTCAGTTAGAGACAACAGCTTGCTCTGCCTTAAATTATTGATAGGTCATAACAACAACTCTCAGCCGCTTCACCAACCTGGAAAGAACAATCCCAAACGCACTGGCCTTGCTTCGTTTCTGCCAGAGGCACAGTTCAGCCAACAGTACTTTCCAACATCCTCCACCCACCCTTTCCTAATGCCCTCCTGGCAAGAGTGTAATTGTATTATTTGTGCTTCTCTTCCTTGAATCATGGCTGGTTTTCTTGGAAGCTCCCCTTCAGCCTATTGTTATTGTTCCTGTTCCTTGCTGTCAAGTCATTTCCCAGTTATGGTGACTCTGATCCAGTTCATGGTATATGAAGTGTTCAAGGAGTGGTTTCCCATCGCCACCACTCTCCTTGAGTTTCCCTGGCAAGCAAGAATTTGAACTCAGATCTCCTGAGTCCTAGTCTGATTCTCTGTTTAATACACCACACTGGCTACCATGTATTTATTAGTCCTCTATATATCCTGCCTCCCTTCCAGGGAGATCAAACTGTGTATATGGTCCTCCTCCTTTTGTCTTCACAACAGTCTTAAGAGGTAGGCGAGGCTCAGAGGCTACAATCAACCCAAAGTCATCCTACGAGTTTCATGGCTGTGTTGGGCTTTGAACCCAGGTCTCCTGCCTTGTAGACTAATGCTCTAACCACACAATATCACACTGCTTTTTCATTTCTCATTCCACCTCCTGTGTAGGTAAAGAAAAGAGCCCGATTTTGCTTTCATCACATACCTAGACACACCCTCCCACGCAAAACTACAAGAGCCAGATATCCTGCAGGGGGCTTGATTCTTTCCTGAGCCCGGCACAGCCGGTTGGCCTTACGTGGAGTACATTGATTTCTTTTTAGAATTTAAAGAGGTGGTGGTCAGAAGTGCAACCCTGGGTTGTGCGGGGCGTACAATTAGTCTTGCCCTATTGAGCTGTAATGAGGCAGGATGCCAGGTTCTTGAAAGTCAGCCTGAAGGAATTTTTAAAATCCTGTTCTTGGGGGGTGGGGAAGGAAATCAACCCGTTTTAATTTCCCCTACTCACCATATTCAACCCTCTCAGGGCTGCTCTAACCCAACCTGGGTACTAGCGGGCCTCCATCTCAACTGGGCATCGTAGGTTAGGGAAAGGAATAACAAGGAGCGTCCATCTTCCCACACTAATCTGCCCCCCCTCCAGATGTCTTGGCAGGCTGTACGCGAGGTGTCCCCCTCCTCTGATGTGCCAGGCTACTATCCCCATCATACTAATCTCGGTGCGCGGGGATGATAGGGATTGTAGTCGAATTCTAATTAGTAAAAACACTACAATACATTACATAGACTAATCTCGGTGCGTGGGGATGATAGGGAATGTAGTCGGGGGATGACTGTAAAGCCCACCCAACCTTTCTTCCTTCTAACGTAAGGCAGAGAAAAGACCACCTGTCCTTAGGAAAAGAGTTGGCTTAAAATCTCTGCCTGGCTGTCTTTCTCCCTCTCCATCCTTGATTCCAGTAAAAACACTACAATACATTACATAGACTAATCTCGGTGCGTGGGGATGATAGGGAATGTAGTCGGGGGATGACTGTAAAGCCCACCCAACCTTTCTTCCTTCTAACGTAAGGCAGAGAAAAGACCACCTGTCCTTAGGAAAAGAGTTGGCTTAAAATCTCTGCCTGGCTGTCTTTCTCCCTCTCCATCCTTGATTCCTAGAGAGGATAACACACACACACACACACACACACACACACACACACACACACACGCACACACACACAACGGGGGGGGGAGAAGAGAGAGAAGTACAGACCACTCAACATACAGGCTCTCCATGGGAAAAAGTCAACCCTGCCGCCTCTCAGCACAAGCTTTGCCCAAGAGACCCGAAGGGGCGCGTCTTACCGATTTTGCCTCCACCGCTTCCCCGCAGGAAAAAACAAAAGAGGCAAGGGTATTGTTGGCTGGGCGGATCGACGGGAAGACGGGATTGCAGGTGGAAATTCAGAAGCGGAGGCTGGAAAGAGGGAGCGGACGCCCGGCCGGATCCTTTGGGTGGTAGCGGGTAGCCGGGGTGGGTGTGTTGTCGGTCCTTGCTGCCCTGTTTCCGCCCCTCAGGAGCTGTCCACGCTCTGTGGTGCTGAAGCCGTTGTTGGCAGAGGGGTGGGGCAGGGAAGGAAGAGGTGGGGTTAGGAGAGGGAGGAAAGGAAGCGAAGTGTGTGTGTGTGTGTGTGTGTGTGTGTGTGTGTGAGAGAGAGAGAGAGAGAGAGAGAGAGAGAATGTGTTTTAGGGGGATGGGGCGGGTACAATTCCGTGCGTTCAAAATAAAACTAGCTCCACTCTCAGTTCGCACCAGCTTTTGCGGTGTTTTTATTGCTGGGTGGAAACCCCGGATCCCTTCATGAAAAAGAAAATATTAGCCACGGCAGCTGGTGGTCCTTGGGTTTGGTGGGGCGGAAGGCACAGCAGCCACCGGAAAGCTAGGGTTAAAATGGGTATTCATACCTAGGCACACAGGCCAACAAGGAAGCGTTCACACATTCTGTCTGTGTGTGTCACACGCCCACGCCCTATACAGCTGGGTCTTAAGCCACTGCTTGAGCCTCACTCCGCCCATTCATCTCACAACGCAGCGGAGGAGCAGAAAAATACACCTGGCGCCTCGGATGAGAAATGTCCCTCCTCCCAGCTTGCTTCCCTCTGCGCCTGGTTTCAAAGCTGGGCAATTAATTTATTCACTCGGAGTTATCTTGCTCACACAAAGTATGCTGCGCCTGGATCTTCAGCAGGCTGGGAGCGCAGTGGGGCCAGACTCTTCCCCCCCCCCACACACACACTTATGTGAGGAGATAGGCAGAAGTGGGTTGGCGGTGTGTAGCTTAAACCTGTGGTGGGGCGGTGCCTCCGTTGCCTTAATGGACCAGTCATCCCTGCTTTGGAAGATGCATGGGGGAGGGGTGCAGCGGGAAGGGCAAGAGCGGAAGAATGAGGGCGCATCCTCTGAGCATCTCTAAGATCTGTACGAGAAAGGGGTCAAAATGGAGTAGGCTGTCCGTCTAAAAAGTCAACCAGGCTCGTCTAGATTCGAGCAGTATCGAACCAATCTACATATCCTGGCTTCCTCCTCCCACTTTTACCTCCCTCCGCCCACAATTATTATTATTATTTTCGAAATAGCTTGGCCGATCCCTAAGCGCCACCCTTACACAAAAGACAGGAGGACTTGAGGGGGGAAGGAAACGTGCAACACTTAAATCAGATTAGCGGGACTCCCCTTGTTCCCCAGGGCCACTGCGTGCTGAGGCGCCAGCAGGACAGGCCTCGGGGGGGGGGCAAACCTCCTGGGTCCTATTCAGCAAAAGGGGCAGGAGTCTCTCTGCCCCCCCCCCAAGAAGCAGCAGGCATGGCTGATCAGGTTTTGAAGCAACCGGAGCGATGCAGTTCTCATTTAAAGGAGGTGTACATGCCCTGCTAGTGGTGGTGATGATGATGGGGGTTAGTGATCATTAAGTCCAAAATTCAGCTAGTTGCACCACTGAGATTATGGCGTGTGCTTGTGAGAAAGCATGGCCCCTCTGCCTGTTGGTTACGTGACAAATGTGTGGTTTACGGGAGAGAAAGAGAGGAGAAAATCCACGAGGATCACTCTTTAGACTTTATTCCCGGCGTGGGGACCACTTCAAGATGTCTAGGTGTGGCTAAACTCTGATTTCCTTTCGTGGTTTGCTTGGAGAGGAGTGTGAGGATTCGAGCAACCGCCCCGGTGAACCACACGAACGCTTACACGCTCTTTTGTCACGGATGTGCTCCATCTTATGATGATTATAAAGGAGTCTTGTCTTGTCTTTTTATGTTTCCTTTTAAAATCTGCATGGTGACTGTGGTTACAGATTCAGCAACAGAAACTACCAGAGAGGGAATCATGTGACTGCTCATACCGTGTGCTGGTTTCTAACTGGTGGAGCTGGGGCGGGGAAGATCTGTTTCGAGGCTCATCCGATAAGGGGGAGGGAGAATGGACGAATATGAATGAACGTGGGGAAATGAGAACAGGGTACGTGCATGCGTGCGCGCGCGGGCGCTAGAGCAGGGAGAGGAGAGTATGTCCCTCTAGATGCTGGATTAGAACTCCCATCATCCTCAAACACGTGCCATTCCAGGTGGGGTTGATGGGAATCGCGATTTAACCGTAACTGGAGTCCCGCCCAAGGGCTTAAAAAGAGTGATCTGGCAGAGAGGCGAGACGAGGGGGGACATGAAGGTGGGGGGCAGCCATTTCTATCCTAGTGGCCCATTCCCCCCCCCCTCCGAAGAGGTGTTTGGACTAGGGCCTCCATAAAGCGTGATGGGCTTTGTAGTGCGACTTGCCTGGAAGGGGATCGGAAAAGGCTTGGGATGTGTACCCCGCGGTGGGTGAAAGAGGCGAAGCCAAGAAGTGTATCCTTTCCCGGGGCGGAGGGGGAGACGCTGGATTTGGAAACGAAGGAGGTGTTGGGTTGCTGATGGAACAGAGGGAAGGACGCACTGGTTGTGTTGTGGAAGATGCGGGTGGGGGGAGAGAGGAGGGGCGTGTAAGCAATGGACAGAGCGTGGGAGTATGCGTGTGCACGTGAGAGAGACGCGAATCAGAGAGCGAGAGCGAGCGAGCGAGAGAACTGCCCTCGTGTGGAAGAAGCCAGCCCTGCAACAAATAATTGCAGGGTAAAATCACCACCAGCTCCACCGCCGCCATCCCTTTCCTCATTGCCAGCAAATAAAAGGATAGGGTGGTTCGCAAGCACATAACTTGACTCTTCCTCGAAGCCAGCGGTTCCCAACCTTGGGTAACCCAGGTGTTCATGGAGTGCAGTTCTTAGAAATCCTGGCCAGCATCAGCTGGTGGTGTGGAGTGCAGTTCTTAGAAATCCTGGCCAACATCAGCTGGTGGTGAAGATTTCTGGGAGTTGCAGTCCAAGAACATCTGGGTTACCCAAGGTTGGGAACCACTATTCTACCCCCGTTGAATGTGACTCCCTGCACTGTAAACCCAGCCAGCTTTCGCCCGGTGCAAAAATCCAAGACTTCTGCCACCACTAAGAAAGAAATTTTCCGAAGTCACCAATTCCAGCAGGCCCTAAAGTGTAGTCCGGGAAATGCCTTCTGTGGCGGGCAATGGGAAATGCAAGCAATATTTGATCAATTGTGCTTGAACTACCATGGGCCCCTCCCCTTGCCTCGCCTGCCCCCCAGGAAGAATGAGAGGGTAAATCCCCATACTTTTTACTAGAAAAGGAGAAATTGTTGAGTGAGGAAGGGGGGAAACACCCATGGCAGGATGTGGAAACATGCAAGGGACAAGCTAAGGAACTTCACAACGTTCAAGAACTTCATAGCTGAGTTCGCTTCGGTTTTCCTTTTCCCTCACCATCTCCTTTTCCTTTCATGTGCTGTCCCACCTCTGAGCTAGATAGTAAGGATTCTCGATGGTTGGCTGTCTCAGATGTTTTGGATTGCAATTCCCATAATCTCTTACCCTTGGCCCTGGTGGCTGGGGCTTCTGGGATTTGAAGTCCAAATCTTCCAAAAGTCCCAAACTTTTATTCAAGAGAATTTAGCAGGTTTTTTATCGCGTCTGAATTATCTTCCACTGAATCTGTGAGTCTTGATTTCCAGCATCATGCAAACTCAAAAATTTTGGCTCCTACCAGCACCATCTGCTACAAGGGCCAACTCTCTCTCTCTCTTGTCTCCAAGATCCAGTCACATCTCTTGCATCTCCCCCAAGTTGCTAGACCTCACTGGCCTTTCTCCAAATCATCTTGACATACAGTACAACACCTACCCTCCGTGCCCTTGAAAGCCTGGTGGCCCGTTACATCCTTCTTCCTCCTTCAGAACTGAGAGTCACATTTCCATCTCATTTGCAAAGAGTCCTGACCTAGTGGAGGAAACAAGGAAAGATCTGACAACAGCGCCATGGCAACATTTGGGATCTGGCACTCAGGTTGCCTGAGCAACCAAGTAATTCCTCTGTCCTTTCCACACTGAGAAGAGGGAGGGGAGACACACACCATGCCACTGACTTACCTTTTGTCTGAATGGGCTTTTTAATGCCCATACTGCAAGAAGCACAGCTGGCAGGGGGGCTTGATTACTATGCCCCCTCCTATCTACCCCCGGGCCCACCATGGTTGGGAAAAGCAACGGAAGTGTAGGAAGACATTCAAGATTTTTTTAAATGTGCTGATTATATACTGAGTCAACCTTGAGCTGGTTACCTGGGTCCATTGGGATCAAACTCGGATCATGAGCAGAGTCTTGACTGCAATACTGCTGTTTAACCACTGTGCCCGAAGGATCCTAAACAAATACAGTTGTGCCTTGCTAGACAATGATAATCTGTTCCACTGAAATCGCTGTTTAGCGAAATCATTGTCTAGCGAAAAGCATTTCCCTATTGGAATGCATTGAAACCTGTTTAATGCGTTCCAATGGGGAAAAATTGTCGTTGTCTAGCAAAGATCGGCCATAGGAAAGCCGCTTTGCGAACCGCCGATCAGCTGTTTAAATAGCTGTCTTGTGAAGCTTAGGTCCCGAAAACACCCATTTTGCGAGCACGGAGGGAGCTGTCAAAATTGTCATCTAGCGAAAATTTGTTTGCAAAGCAAGGACCAAACATTGTCCAGTGAAATTCCCCCATAGGAATCACTGATTTGCGAATCGCTATAACGATCGCAAAAAGTCAATGTCTAGCGAAAAAACTGTCATGTGGGGGAACTGTCTAGCGAGGCACCACTGTAATCTATTTATATAGAAGAACCTGGGTTTGTTGACAAGGGGGGCTGTTTTCTCCTTGCAGTTCCTCATGCAACATTATAAAGTAAGTAGTTCATGGCCCATCTATAGGTGATTCAGATCTCAATGTGTTTGACAACACTATGTTTAGGGAGGTGCCTCTTAATTTTCAGAGGACCAACTTTCTCTCCTCCTTTTTAAAAGGGTCTGAAATGTTCACTTGGATAGATCTCCTTTCCCAAGCTTGGCAGATTCTAAATGAGGATATTCTAGTTTGGAATTATGGGAGCTGTAGTCAAACACAATCAGGTGGTACTGGCTTGGAAAAAGATAGGTTAAAGTAATTTCTCTCTAAATTATTTTACTAAAGTTTTACAGATTAATTGAATAGCTTTTAGAGATGCAAACTATCAGCTGGCAGGCCCCCATTTAGCATAAGTACTACCTCTTCATATCTAGAAGTGGAAAGAAAAAGTCCTTCTAAATAGGGACATATATCATCTAAAAACACAAGAAGCAGACTGTTTTCTAGTACTCTTGTTTTATTCATACACAAATCAACATTGATTCCAACAACTCATTCACTGATGTACATATGACTTATTAATGAAGGATGTTATTTTGTCCCTCTTACCTGGGAGTCATGCCCAGTGAGCAGCTTCTGATTACGTGGGTAGGGAAATGTATTCTAAGTGTATGTGTATACACACACCTATGGGAAGTAAGGATTAGAATAAGAACTATACACCAAGAGGTGTGTTTCAAGGTACATATTTTATTTTCAATTTATACTCCATTTGCACCAATACCTTCTAAGGCAGTCATTCCTATCCTTGGGTCTCCAGATGTTCTTGGACTAAAACTCCCAGAAGCCTTCACTGCTAGCTGTGTTGGCCAGGATTTCTGGGAGTTGTAGTCCAAGAACACCTGGGGACCCAAGGTTGGGGACCACTGTTCTAAGGGATCTGTCATAGAAAAGAGAAACAGGTGTCTCCAGTGAGCACTCTGGGTGCAGCTGATTTTGTGCAAGAGTGCATCTAGGCTTCTCAGTTGTTAATTGCCCAAAGAAATTCAACTTTTCCTCCCCATGATGATGCAGGAAATCTTTTGACGATGGGTCACGTTTGTCTTCCTCACCCTTCCGCATTTTATTTGTTCATTACATTTAAGCCTCACCCTTCCCTGCAGAGAACTTAGAAACCTTTTCCCCTAATAACCCTGTGAGGTTGGGCTAGCCTGAAATGACTGAACTGAGGTGACCCAGTGAGCTTTATGGCTCTGTGAGCAACTGAAAGCATGTCTCCGTAAACCAGTCTTCCAGTGAATCTACCACACTGGCTGTCACTCAACACACCATGAATACAATCTGCATAGGCCAGTGAATTTATCTGCGGTCTAGTCAATGTTGCAAAGTTCATATGCGAAGCTGAATACACTCCTGACTGAAGTGGGTGCAGTTTTCTTGCAATTAAGGTGGCTGCATGTGGCATTCATTGGCCTGCATCACATCTGTACAGCCTTCCTTCCTATTGGTTGGGTTAGTGTTTTGCATCTTGTTTCTTCATTTGGTTAGATAATTTGAGTCCTACCTAGATCAGACGTATTAAAAGCAATGGAATTTGCATTAGCTATGGCCAATAACTTCCACTCATTGATTAGACTAATACTGGTTTGCACCCCTTCTATGGATTTTGCCTTTTTGGGGGGGGGGAGGGAATCTCCTGCCTGCCTACATGACCGCCTGCCTGCCTAACATCTGCCCTGGCAAGACTTCACAGAATCCAGCCTCACTGTGAATCCCACCTCTGGACTCCTCCTTCTGTTTTTTGGAATGGATTAGCAGCTGCACAGAGGCCCAGTTGGTATGAATTCGGAACAGGCATTCAAATAAAAGTGTTGGTTAAAAATCCATGCACACTCACGCCACCGCCAATGCTTTGCAATTGACCAAAACACCTTCCACCCCTATTTGATGCTGCTCCTTGCCTTCTCTTGGAATCACAGGTTCTTTAGATATAGTCATGACCACGTGGGTTGAAGGGATGTCAGCTGATGGGAAGGGGAGGCTACTAAATCACAAATCATGTGAGAAATTACTTCTGAAATTCTGGTCCATTTTGTAGATGGAGCTTGGGAACCACCTTTGATGAACCTTTCTCCAAAGTTCTGCTCTGGCACACAGAACAGGCAGTCGCCCAGTCACTTGGGATCTTTGTCCATCATCTGCTGGGCTACGGGTCTTGCTCCTCAGACTGGTCTTTAGATGTGGCCACAGGTAGAGCTCTGGAGAATTGATGGCAATGACAGCTGTGGCCAAAGAACAGGCCTCTCCCATGTAAATCAACAAGAGTTTCATGCTCAACGAGAGTGTGCAGGAGAGAGGCGGAGACAGATGCTCTGGACCTCTGGGAGAAATCCCATTCTTTGTCATATTTTGTTTCTCCTCTGTTGTAAAGCTCCCCCATGTGCTTCTGAATGAGAGGAAGAGGCTATAGATCCATTGAATATCACAGCACTGCCTGCAGAAGGACCGACGTTCTGCCTGTTTTGTCATATTTATATCTCACCTTTGCTCTAATGAGTTCAAGGCAGTATATGAATAATTCTCCTTCTCCCTACTTTTATCCACACAACAGCCCTGCCGTGTTGAGCACTTTAACACACCCTTTTTGGAATAACTGCCCTCTTAGTTACTATTATTCATATATCTATCACCTCCTTTCCAGTGACTCAAGGGGGCACAGAGGGCTACCCTCCCTTTCTTCCTTGTCAAAACAACCCTGCAAGGAAGATCAGAATGATAGAAGGCGATTGGTCATAGCTCAGTTTCAGGCTTCAGTGGGGACCCCAACCTTGACCTCCCACATTCTGATCCAACACCTGTAGCCACTACACTATATGGAGTTTTTAATTATCTCTTATCAAAACAAATTATATAGCAAGTGATGAGGAAGGCAAAGCATTTCGCTGCCGGCTGAATCAGCTGATGCAATCATTAACATATGCAACAAAACAAGATCAGGGGAAAGAATCGTGGGAATGCTCAGGTGTTCTCTTAAAATTCTCCACTCCCGCTGATACGGGCACCTCAAAGTCAGAGAGTTATAGTTTTACAGCACTTGGACGGTGGACTTCCTCAGATTTTGCCAGGGTGAGGACTGAAACCCTCACACACGGGACACTTCATACTCTTGAAGGGCCAATGTGTTTTCATACACAGCACTGCATTCCACCTTCTCACTGTCATGCTGCCTGGTGGCTTCCATTCCATCAAGGAGGCATTGATGCAAAAAGATGTACTGGGACTATAGAGAAGAGATGGGGGGAAAACCCTGTCAGTTTCACTTTCTCCTGCATTTAAATACACAATCTGTCAGTTTTACTTTCTCCCACATTAGAATTGATGTACAGTATATCAATTTTACTTTGCCCAACTTTGAATTTGAAATCTGTCAATTTCATTTTCTCCCACATTTGAATTCATAGTCTGTCGATTTCAGTTTTACAGTAATTCCATGGCCAGATTTAATATTTTTGTTTACTTGTTAGTATCTACATCCCAGCAATACTAATGCAATTTATTGCATCATTAACAATTTGCATACATTATTAATATCATAGGAGAATGTCCCTGGACATATTAATCTAGGCCTTCTCAGAATGAAAGGGTTTTGTTGTGTGTTCCTATCATGATGGAACCCAGTTCCTTTGGCAGATTAGTTGGTGGGATGTAGGAAAGAAAAGATGGAGAATCACGGTGTCAAAGCAAGAGGGGGGGGGAAAGCCAAACCTCCAGCCATGCTGTTGGACTACATTTCCCATCATGTTTGACTCCTGGCCATTAAGGGTTCAGGCTCATGGGAGTTGGAGCCTAACAAGTGTACCAACTCAGCTTGAGGTATCTCTTTGCCTCCAGGGGAGCTGATGGCTCCCATATGGCACAGCAGCCATTAATCATCAGAATTCTGCACCAGGCAAATGGGCAAATGTCTGGCCTAAAAAGGGGGCTGGAAATTTGCAGTTTGGAAAAAAAAATACATTTTGGGGACCATGAATCCCAGAATATCAGAAAATGGCTTGGTGTGGAAGTTTGGGAGCTATAGATCAAAAAAATGTAACCTGTCTAAGCACTGCTACAAACATACAGTACAACACAGCTTCTATTCACATGGTTCAGAGGTTTGGTCTACAAACTGGGAATTTATTTATAGTAGTTCCATTTCTATCTAAATTCACCAGAGATCTGCTAAGGATGGGATTTTTTTGGGGGGGGGACTACAAACCCCATAATTCCTTATTCTTGAAGTTCTACCTGACAGAAAGGCACCTAAATGTGGCTCACCTGGGACAAAGGCCTCCACCAGAAGGTTTTCAGGCTGAGCTAGGCCTAGCTCCATTGAGCTTCCTTTTCCTGCCCCAGTGCTAGCTGGGAGCTTTCTTTCTGAAGAGGAAGGCAGGTGGAACTAGACCTTTCTCCCAAGATAGCCATAGTCAGGCAGAACGATGGGGTTGTGTGGTCCAGAATGCAGAATGATGGAGTTTGTGGTCTAATTTTGTTTTTTAAAAATCCCATCCCTATTATCTATCATGAGTTAAGTCAATTGGCAGCTACTAATTATGAGGGCTATATTTTTTTATTTTATTTCTTTTAGGATGTCTTAGGAGATCCCCTCCCCCATTTCCATAACATTCACAAGTTAACTTTATGAAGCTATTCAATTAAAATAGTTTTAAATAATGTAATTAATTAAACATTAATTGATATTGCAAAATTTACAGCGGAGATGCATGTCTCTGGGATATAGGTGTTCCTTACAAGGAAAAAGGACTTATTTGGGGATTATAACACCTGCTGGCTTTGCGTGTCTTGGAGTTGCTGTCCCCCCCCCAATACCTTTTTCAAGCCCTGTCTGCACAGCCATACTTGGGGTCTCTCACCTCAGTCTGAATCATGAGCGGACGGTTCATCCTCAGCCTTTGGACAAATGAGAAGACCCCAATCTCTCCCTTGTCCTGGGCTTGGCGCAACAGGGAATCCAGGGCAATGAAGGTTCCAGTCCGACCCACACCAGCACTGAAAATGCGGGAGAGTAAAAGGTGGAGGGAGCCATGCACCAAGAGCACAGAGATGACCAAAGGACAACATCAAGGAACCAGAAAACACCATCCTGTCTCCAGGCAGTGGCTGGAATTTCATCTCAAGTATCTTTTTTTAAAAGTAGATGATAAATATTTGGTACGAAAACACAGAGACACTTATTTACCCATTCAGAGTCAGATCAATTCAGATATTTCTACCTTGACTCTGAGTTATACGATTTGTCCTGTGGTTTGTTCCCATTTGGGGATGTGTTGCTTTGCTCCTTTTCCCAATGATCATATGTATGGGCAATCGTGAACTAGACTGTCCCTCATCTGTGCCTACCCACACCTTTTAGGGTCCCTGTCAGCGGTTGCTGGGTTTTTTTCGGTGCAAGTAGGATTACTCTATTTTGGTTCGGTTCCAGCGTGGGTGATTGCTGGCATCGAACCAAAGTGGATTGCTTAAGCTATCCCTTTGCTTAAGATAATTCATGATACTGTCCCTCATCTGTGCCTACCCACACCTTTCAGGGTCCCTGTCAGCGGTTGCATTTGCTTAAGATAATTCATGATATTGGGAAATTGAAAACTTCCTCCCACTCTCCTGCAGAAGGAAAAACAGGAAGCAAAGTTTTTTTTTTGAAAAAAATCATGATATTGGGAAATTGAAAACTTCCTCCCACTCCCTTGCAGAAGGAAAAACAGAGGAAGCAAAGTTTTTTTTAAAACCCTTATAAGGCAATACTGAATTAGTTACATAGCAAGCCAAAGGTGTGATCAGATCGGGATTTGTCCTATGACTCCAAGCAACCAATTCAGTACTATGCCACCTAGAAATTATTATTTTTTAATTTGAAAGCTTCCTCCTGCTTCCTCATAGAGGAAGAAACAAGGAGGGGGGAATCTTTTTGCCACTTTTTCTCTCTTTCTTGTCTCTTTAAAGGGAGGAAGGGCTATAGGATCAGTGCGGCTGAAGTGCAGTATGATTTCTGGCCCCAAACCTCCCAATCCATGCTTATGGGTGCAAGGATTGTCCCCAAAGGACAGACCCCACTTTAAAGCAAGCCTGTTTAGCACAATCTGGTCTGATCTAGAAAAATGTGTCTGTATGTTGTTGTTGCTTAGTCATTAAGTCGTGTCCAACTCTTTGTGACCCCATGGACCAGAGCACGCCAAGCCCTCCTGTCTTCCACTGACTCCCGAAGTTGGGTCAAAAACTGTTTAGTTGCTCCCAAAGTCTCTTGTGCTGGCTCTCAGAATTTTGACACAATAAGAACAATCTTAGAACTGCAGAACTGAAAGGGACTCCATGGTTTATTGAGTGTAGCTCCTGTCAAGGAGGCACAGTGGGGAACTGATCTCACAACCTCTGACTCTGTAGCCAGATGCTTAAACCACCGAGCTATCTAGCAGCCATGTAAGGTGATTTCTCACCCCCTTTGGACTAATTCAAAAGAATTAGTTATATTAGCTCATTTCAGCATGTTCTCAAGGAAGGAAGGAAGGAAGGAAGGAAGGAAGGAAGGAAAAGGCAAAATAAAGACAAGCTTACTACAATGTGAGTTTTCAACAACAAAGAATGCAAATGTATTAGCCTTTAAAATGCATCAATATTTTGTCTCCTCCCCCCTTCCCCCCTGCCAACATTTTTGGGACTAGGGCTCCTCTAATCCTTTGGCCAGCACAGCCAGTATTTTTTGTAATCTCCTTCTGTCTCACCCTTTTCAAATTAGAGATACAGGGAACTGAACCTGCGGCCGGCCTTCTGTGCCTTTTTAGCATGGACCTGTGGCCAGCATCTAGGAATTTGTGATAACTACAGTATATTAGCAGAATTGGCTGAACGCTCAGATATAGGGTTACCATAAATCAGTGGCAACTTGACGGCACATAATAACAACAACTGTGTTACATCTCTGGCTAGATAGCTCATCGGGAATATCTGGCTGCAGAGCTAGAAGTTGGGAGTCTGATTTCCCCACGGTGCCTCCTGTGAGTACAGCCAGCCTGTGAGGCTTTGGGCAAGCTGCACAATCCCAGGATTCCCCCAGAAGAAGGGAAGGGTAAACTGCTTCTGAGTAGCCTCACCCAAACTCTGAAATGACTTAATGGCAAATGATAATTATATTATTAGGAGTGGTACAGAGAAGCCCTGGGTCCTGCCTCCCATTGATTCTCCACAGTCCCATGCTGGTCCGCTCCATCCCCATTTGGTTTACCTGCAATGAATCAGAGCAGGCCCACTCTCCTCGTGTTGCTCTATGTGCTCCCTCACGAGGTCTCGGAAGTGAAGGACTGTGTTTGTGACAGGAGGTACCCCATGATCTGGCCATGATGTGTAGTGGTGATGCCTGGCGAGGCGGACCTCAGATTCGTTCAGCTGTTGCGACACATAAGATTTGATTGATTGATTGATTGATTGATTGATTGATTGATTGATTGATTGATTGATTGATTGATTGATTGATTGATTGATTGATTGATTGATTGGATTTCTACCCCACCCATCTAGACCAAAGGTCTACTCTGGGCGGCATTACAAATTTAAAAACAGTTAAACCAATAAACATGTACTATAAATCCAAGATGGTAAGGTGTGAATTTAAGAATTTAGACATTCACTTCCACTAGAAAGTGGGATGAAGAAGAGTATCATGTGTCTCATTTTCTCCCAGCTCCACCAAGTTTTTCTTGAATGCCTCCAGTGCTGGAGCACCCACCAACTCCCGAGATCACAGATCCCACTGTCGTACTGCTCGAACAGTTAGGAAGTTTTTCCTGATATTCAACCGAAATCTGGCTTTGTTTAACTTGAGCCCATAGTTGCCCGTCCTGCACTCTGGGATGATCTCAATATTCTATAAGCCCTTGAAGCTCACATGCACTCAGGCAGGGGGAACATTCCAAATGTTTATTTAGCAACTATATTTGGATGCATCAAGGAAGCCTTTGGAGTTTGCAGAAAACAACAGCTTTCAGTTTGGACCCATTGCTCCCTGGGGAATTCTGGGAATTGTAGTCTAAACAGATAAATGTGCACATCCCTTGTAGGGATGAATGGTGGAGTGTATCTTTCTCTACCCACTGTCAGGGCCATGGATAGCAGTTCAGGTGAGCCAGGCATTTGGAAGCAGAGAGATGAAACCAAAGAATCTACTAGGAACTGGAGTCCCGAAGGCAGTTCGTGTCATTCATTCATTCATTCATTCATTCATTCATTCATTCATTCATTCATTCATTCATTCATTCATTCATTCATTCATTCATTCATTCATTTTATTTATACCCCGCCCCTCTAGACCATGTCTACTCAGAGCCACCGCCCCTTTTTGTTTTACCGCCCCCCTGAAAAATGAAATCGCCCCCTGGGGGGCATTATCGCCCACGTTAAGAACCACTGGTCCAAACAGATAAATTTGCACATCCCTTATAGGGATGAATGGTGGAGTGTATCTTTCTCTACCCACTATCAGGGCCATGGATAGCAGTTCAGGTGAGCCAGGCATTTGGAAGCAGAGAATTGAAACCAAAGAATGTACTAGGAGGGAGACTGAGGCGAGGCCAATACATAGAGGTAGGAGGGATATCAAGAAACAAGCCTGAAGTCTAAAGTTTAAAGGGCAACCACAGCTACAGGAATATGCCAGATATCCAGATGAGTTTTGTTTCTCCAACAAGAGGGTATCATAATCAAAGGGTTCTGTGAACAGCTCCTCTAACAGGAATTTCCAGGCCCCACTGGAACTTGCGCTGAGGCGAGGCCAATACATAGAGGTAGGAGGGATATCAAGAAACAAGCCTGAAGTCTAAAGTTTAAAGGGCAACCACAGCTACAGGAATATGCCAGATATCCAGATGAGTTTTGTTTCTCCAACAAGAGGGTATCATAATCAAAGGGTTCTGTGAACAGCTCCTCTAACAGGAATTTCCAGGCCCCACTGGAACTTGCGGTTTGGCCGCTCACCAGTCGGAACAGCTGTTCATGGAACCTTTTACATCCTGATGCCCTCTAACCAGAGGGAAGGTTAAGAACCACTGATCTAAAGGGTTCTGTGAATAGCTCCTCTAACAGGAACTTCCAGGCTCCACTGGAACTTGCAGTTTGGCCGCTCACCAGTCGGAACAGCTGTTCACGGATCCTTTTACATCCTGATGCCCTCTAACAGGAGGGCCCCTCTTCCATTTTGCAGCTAACTATTCAGCCCATCATGTCTCTTTCTAACATATTAAAAGCCAGCAGTGGAGAACATCTGGTTCCCCCAACATCTGGTTCCAATCCATAATCAACTGAGTTCTCTTTTAGAGGAAACAAGGATTGGTGCCCCTCTTCCATTTTGCAGCTAACTATTCAGCCCATCATGTCTCTTTCTAACATATTAAAAGCCAGCAGTGGAGAACATCTGGTTCCCCCAATGTGGTTGGACTGCAACTCCCATCAGACCTAGGCAGCATAGCTAAACATGGGGGATGACAGGACTTGAAGGCCAACAAGATCTCAAAAGCTATGCATCACCTATGCCTGCGGTAACCTGGATGGGGCCTTTTTCAAATGATAGTCAGCCTGCTGTGTTTAATGAGCACACTTAATCTTCTTTACAGTTTCAACTTTTAGGTTGTTAAGCGATGGGACACGTTATCTTTTTGGACAACAATATCCAGAATCCCCCATCCACCAGGGTCAGTGATTATGCTGCCTAGGAAATTCCCATCCCCAAGTCTGTCACTTTTTATTTTGTAGCTGTTTTATCCCTCAAATCATTTTTCCTCTTTATGTCTGGAAGTTTACTCAGACTTTACTACCCTATTCTTGTTTCTCAGCGGGTCCTCTTTGGTGTTGAATTCTCTCAATCCATAATCAACTGAGTTCTCTTTTAGAGGAAACAAGGATTGGTCAGTTTTTAAAAGAGCTATCTTTCATCAGTAACAACCTCCATCCTCATGACTAAAGACCTTCTTAGTCATGGCTCACAACAGGCCGTGGACCTCCCTACCACAGTGGCTCTGAACCTTGGGTACCCCAACACACTTAATCTTCTTTACAGTTTCAACTTTTAGGTTGTTAAGCGATGGGACACGTTATCTTTTTGGACAACAATATCCAGAATCCCCCATCCACCAGGGTCAGTGATTATGCTGCCTAGGAAATTCCCATCCCCAAGTCTGTCACTTTTTATTTTGTAGCTGTTTTATCCCTCAAATCATTTTTCCTCTTTATGTCTGGAAGTTTACTCAGACTTTACTACCCTATTCTTGTTTCTCAGCGGGTCCTCTTTGGTGTTGAATTCTCTCAATCCATAATCAACTGAGTTCTCTTTTAGAGGAAACGAGGATTGTTCAGTTTTTAAAAGAGCTATCTTTCATCAGCAACGACCTCCATCCTCATGACTAAGGACCTTCTTAGTCATGGTTCACAGCAGGCCGTGGAACTCCCTACCACAGTGGCTCTGAACCTTGGCTACCCCAAGGGTTCTTGGGCTGAAACTCCCAGAAATCCTGGCCAGCACAGCTAGTGGTGAAGGCTTCTGGGAGTTGCAGTCCAAGAACATCTGGGTTACTCAAGGTTCTGTCCTAACAGAAAAAGGCTGGTTTGTCATCCTTTTATTCAGGCACCCTTCAGCAGTTGAGATACTGTGAACGGCTTCACTCAATGTGTTTTAGTTTGCCTTTGGTTCTATTTAATCTGCTTTATGCTTCAGTTGTACCCGGAAGAGTTTATTTTCTTTCTCAGCAACGTTGGCCAGAATCCTGTTGGAATCATCTAGTTTAATCTGGCAAGGGAATAACTGGAGTGTCATGTAATCTTGCCAGCTGTCCATTTTGTGGTCACAGATGTGCTTGGCCCCACACTTGGTCTAACATTTAGGGTGTGCAACAGATGGCAAACAGCAAAAAAAGAACACTTGTATGATTGTGTGTGGTATTTCACAGTCAGATTCTGGCCCTTAAGTTTGATTTGAGTGGGTGGAGGAGAGAAAGGGGGCATACAAATGGGATGACTCAATGAGGTTGCTTAAAATATTTCTCCCTGCCACAGTAATGATGGCGGAGCAGTAATAGGCTAGCTGGCTGGATAGCTCAATAAACTATCTGTTATCTATGAGTTATCAAAGCTGGCTGGATAGCTCAGTGAATTAAACATCTGGCTACACAATCAGAGGTTAGGAGCTCAGTTCCCCACTGTGCATCCCAGGAAAACTAGCCTGTGTGGCCTTGGGCAAGTTGCACAGTTCCAGGATGTCCCCAGAAAAAAAGGAATGGTAAATGACTTCTGAGTACTGTCTCTCTGGAAAACCCTGAAAAAAAGTGGCTATAATTCTGAATTGACTTAATGGCAATCTATTATTTTTTATTATGAGTTATCAACACTGTAGTTACACACTTGCCAGATTTTGCTATGCAGTTCCAACAGGATTCTGGCCAACATTGCTAACAAGAAAATAAACCCTAATTGATGGGTGCTGAAGCTGAAAACTGCATTTTCCCACTACGCCTCTTGTGAGAAAAGCTAGCCTATGCAGCCTTGGCCAAGCTGCACATTCACACACCCAGAGCATTCCCCCAAAAGGTATGGTAAACCGTACACTGTAGTTACACACTTGCCAGATTTTGCTATGCAGTTCCAACAGGATTCTGGCCAACATTGCTAACAAGAAAATAAACCCTAATTGAGGCATAAGGCAGATTAATTAAACCACAAGACAAATTAAAAACAAGGCATCAATATGGAGGTGCTGAAGCTGAAAACTGCATTTCCCACTATGCCTCTTGTGAAAAAAGCTAGCTTATACAGCCTTGGGCAAGCTGCACATTTATACACCCAGAACATTCCCCCAAAAGGTATGGTAAACCATATCTGAGTACAGTGGTGCCTCGCTAGACAGTTACCCCACATGACAGTTTTTTCACTAGACATTGACTTTTTGCGATCACTATAGTGATTCGCAAAACAGTAATTCCTATGGGGAAATTTCGCTGGACAATGTTTGGTCCCTGCTTCATAAACCAATTTTTGCTAGACAACTTTTTGACAGCTCCCTCCATGCTCGCAAAATGGGTGTTTTCGGGACCTAAGCTTCACAAGACAGCTATTTAAACAGCTGATCGATGGTTCGCAAAGCGGCTTTCCTATGGCCAATCTTCACTAGACAACGATGATTCTTCCCCATTGGAATGCATTAAACAGGTTTCAATGCATTCCAATAGGGAAATGCTTTTTGGTAGACAATGATTTCGCTAAACAGCAATTTCAGTGGAACAGATTATCATCATCTAGCGAGGCACCACTGTACTCCATACTGTTAAAAAAAAACCCTGAAAAGGGTCACTGTAAGTCAGAAGTCACTTGACAGCATGCAATTACTAGATGTTACTAGTACATGACTCTCATTTGTGTGGAGCAGAAGTGGAGGTGGCCTGTTTGCTCACCCGCTTGATATTGAAATCCCGGATGGTCCAGTTGGGAAGAATGGTTTCTCTGACAACGGAGACAGTGATGTCATCATAGGTACAGGGAGTGTAGTCCAGGGGCCAATAGCGTTCGCACTTCACCTGGCCAGAAGAGAAAGAGACGGAAGGTGTTCAACAGGATGGGGAAGTGGCTGTGAAACACCTTACTCAGCTAGATCTAGCAACGAGGACTCAATGGTCTTTGAGGACCCGGGTCATGGCATTGCTTGAAAAAAGCATTTTTGTAGACCACAACTCTCCAAATCCCCAGCTAACAAAGACCAATAGAAGTGCATTCTAAAAAGTAGCTTGGAAGAAAGTCGTTCAGGATCACTTTTTTTCTTGCACCACCCAAAAACGTTTCATTACTTATGGTTGTGAACAGATCAACAGCAAACAAAACAACATTGCTTTGAAAGACTAAAGATGGTGAAGATCTTTTGAAGTGAACTTTGAAAAAATGTTTCCTCTTAAAAGCAAAGAATAAAATCCAAAGTAAAGGATATCTGGCTCAGGCCTAGCCATATTCAAGAGAGATTATGGGCTGGGATTCCCTTCAAGAGGGAATCTGGGCTGGGGTGACTGTCAATGAATGAAGCAGTAACTAATCATTCACTCCTGTCTCTGAATCTAAAGAGGATCCCACCTCTACTGTGTGTTCCCTGTGTTTAGTCTCTCGGGAGCAATGTTGTTTTGTTTGCTGTTGATCTGTTCACAACTGTAAGTAATGAAATGTTTTTAGTCTTTTTCATACAAGTGTCTTGGAGTGAGTTATTGAGACCTTAAATGCCAGCTAATGAGAAAGGCACGATTTATCCAGGGAACTTGTGGCTATTCTCTTCTGCGAACCACTGTACTTCTACTGTGTAACAAAAAGAATTTTAACAGAAATTCCTCACTATCCAACAGTACATTCCTTGATCCCCAAATAGAATGGGACAGTTCTCACCCGTCCATTCTCTACACATTTGGTCAGCATAACCAAGGTGGTGATCCGTTGCTCCCATATCATGCGCCAGAAGTCATGGAGTGTCCCACACAATGGACCCTGGGCTGCGATGAATTCTTTTTCCCCTTGGAAGCCCTGCGATGAGTAGGCAGGGAAGAGAGAATTTAGCCTTAAACAGAACCGTGCTGAACAGGCTTACAGATTCATCCTGGTTTGGGAGCTTCAGCCCAAAATAGTTGCAGGACACCAGGTAGGAAAATGCCAGGTCACACGATTTATCCCTTATAAAAGCCATGAAATACCCAGTGATGGTAATCCTGGGGAAGAGGGTTTGACCGGAATTGGCCCCAGGTCCTAAGCTTGCTCACCCTTATTTTAAAGCACAACTGGACATTCTTGTGCCTTCCAGATGTTTGCTCCACCACCCTGTTTTATTGTTATAGTTTAACAATAAAACAGGGCACAAAAATGAAACTGGAAATGGATTTGCAGGAATATTTTGATTTTTCATGGGGTTTGCTCATTTTGGAAGGGATGGTATAGACAAATGATGATTCCCGAGGATGGGCAATTCGCTGCTGAACCCTCCAGAGTTGGACATTTACTCAGAAGTCCCATTAAGTTCAATAGGACTCACTGCTGTAGCAGCTCCTGTTACCTCTACCCACCAACACTGATGATGGGGAATGCTGGAAGGTACAGTACAACATATAGAGGGCTACGTATATGAACCTACAACCTACAAAAGCATAACCTTCAATGTCTATCTGCAAGCAGTAGCTCAGAGTGAGAAGAAAGGAGCTTGCTACTGCCTCACTTCAGTGAGATGTGCAAAATCAAAGCAAACTCCCTCCAAGCTTAACCTTGTTCCTTATTAATCAGAGGTATGGGATTCTGATGGCTGGATAGCTCGGTGGGCTGGATCACCTTCATACAAACATAAAAATATGTTCTCTCTGATTATCATGGGAATCGGAAGCATTAAGGGAGACTGGCTGCACGATTCGACCAGCACTTAGTATATACTGCACTACAATCAAATCCAAATCTGTGCCAAGGGAAGTGGTGGGACTGTATCTAGGATGGACCCAGAAGGTCCAAAGCTTCATCTCAATGTGCTCCAGTATCTTGTAGACTCACAGGCATATAGCTCGCATTGATGTAATCTGAATTCGGGTCCCCAGGTTTGAGTGTGAGCTGGACCCGTGAATGGTCATCTGCAGAGAAAAAAAGAGACAGATTAAAATGGCACTTGGGACGGAGGGATAAAATTGAAGGTAAAACCACACCCAATATAGAAGTTTGGATAAGCATCTTTTTTGGTTTGCAACTCCTAGTAGCAGTGCTGGCTGAAGGATTCTGGGTAGTGTAGTTCAAAAAAGGAAATTTACCAGGTTCTGGGTATGTGTCGTCATGTCAAGTTGTGAAATGTTGTGTGTATACAGGCTTACAATAATTACAGGGAATGTAGAAAATGCAACCCTAGAAGTGTACATTGTATTTTAGAAATGAAGCTTGAACAACAGTTTACTAAAGTCATTGCAAAATAATTAGCCAGCTCTCCAGCGGAGCAAGTCATTGTACATAAACACTGCCTGATAAAAAGGGTTATTCTAATGGCTGATAGACAATTTGAAAAGATGTAGAGGGGAACTGGCCACCAATTCTCAGTGGTCTCCTCAGAGTTAACGAAGACATCTAGCAAATCTAGTAGCCAGCCAAGCTACCAGTGAACTTTGTTTCCCTCCTACCACACAGTTGGAAATAATTTTATTGGCTCATATTCCTTGACAATGTGATGTGAAGAATGTATACACAGTCTTTCCAAATCCAAACTAGTACAAGAGGGACTTTACATGAGAGGAGGAGGATAGGACTTTTAAAACTGCCTAAGATCTACTCCTCTTGGATCTTAAAGTTAATATCTGAATGTATGGTCAGAGGGAATGACTGACTGGTTGAAGCTCATCCTGGGAGATTCATCACTGAAGGTAGATTTAAAACTGATTATTCAACAGCCTATCCATGGCACATGAGTTGTCAAGAAAACTGAAGGTAGATTTAAAACTGATTATTCATGGCAGACGAGTTGTCAAGAACGTACTGTTGTTTGAGAGCATATGGGCAAACTCATACTGGTAACAGAGGTCTCATCTCTACTCTGTCAGCTCATCTATCCCAGCCAACACCCACATTGCCTAGTCATTGAACTAGGATTTCTAGGTTCAAAGATCATGTAATTCTCAAGGCCTCATGAGATGAGATGCTGATCCTGTATCTGGAAGTAGTGCTCCCTCAAGTGGTAAAAAAAGGTTCAAATGGGGAAACACATTAAAAGTAGGAGCATCACTAATCAAAATTAGAATGTAAATATTGGCTTTCCTTCTAATTGTGGAAACTCACCTAACAAAGGAGATTATGTTACTGGGAAGAAAACATAAAAGCAGAAAATGCAGAATTAGTGTCGTATTCAGTGAGACCCTGAGGAGGCTACTCCCATGTTCTCCTGCTAGTCCAGAGTTAAATGCTCAAAATTAAAACAGTCTATTTTTGCATAAGTACAACTGTTGTTGTTGTTTAGTCATTAAGTCGTGTCAGACTCTCCGTGACCCCAGGGACCAGAGCATGCCAGGCCCTCCTGTCTTCCACAGATTCCCAGAGTTTGGTCAAGGCAGCAATCCATGAAGGGGATAAGTACAATAAGTGTGGATAAACAAGGAAATGAATGGAACTCACAAGGCAGGACATTGCTGTAGCGATTCTTTGCTTGATTTTCCGGCTGCTCTGCCACAGCTTGGGTCTGCCCTATTCCCACGTCCTGCAGCTGCTTTTGTTTAGACAGGAAAAGAGGAAATATTGAATCAGGACAGCAGGGGGCAGAGAGTTATAGAACAGGGGTGCTTCTGCCAGCAAAGCATGAAAACAAGCTGTTGAGCCAAAATGTTGATCTGTGGGAAACTGTATTTGAAGCTGGAATTATCTCCATTAGGTTGAGCACTACCTGAACACTCAGAAACACCACCCATTTGGCAGTGAAAAGGCTTGGTGAGCCCAGAATCTCTGTTTTCCAGAATGTATGGGCATAGGACAGGCAATTGTCCAGATAACTTTGTGGGTCCTGACAAGTGGATCCTAGATCGAATCAAGTTTGAACTCTCTCTGGAAATGACAAAGATGAAGCTGAGGCTACCATGCTATGGGCATATCAAGACAAGAGGAGACTTGCTGAAAAAGAGTACAATGCTTGGAAAAGTTGGGCAGCAGGAAAAAAAGACCCAATATGCGATGGGTGGAAGTAATAAAAGAAACCACAGCCTTGAGCTTGCAAGAACTGAACAGAGCTCTTAATGATAAGACATTTCGGAGGTCACTTATTCATAGCATTGCTATGTCAGTGGTGACTTAATGGCATATATCAAGAGCAAAACTCAGTATGGGTGAGGCCTGATTGGCCACACATGGCCAGGGTATGAGATAGGAGCTTCTCCTAGCCCTACCTGGAGATGCTTGGGATTGAATCCATGACCTTCTGCACTCACGGCAGACACATCCAGACCCCATACCTGGTATTCTTTGGCAAAACCCAAGGCGCTGCTGGAAAAACGCTCGCTGCAGTAGCAGGGAAATGCTGACACAGACACAGAGGTAAGGACCCTATAGAGGGGGAGGGAAAGGCAGAACGTTGTCACTTTAGATACCAAGAGGTGGAATAATAGGGTTAGGAGCCTACTATAGGGCACACAGTCCATCTCAAGTTGCAGTCCTTTATTTATCTAGGGTCAATGGGTGGATGGTGGAGTATTTTGCCCAATTGGTTGTTGTGGGTTTTTCGGGCTCTTTGGCTGTGTTCTGAAGATTGTTCTTCCTAACGTTTTGCCAGTCTCTGTGGCCGGCATCTTCAGAGCACAGGAGTAGCACTCTGTGCTCTGGTGCTACTCCTGTCCTCTGAAGACGCCAACCACAGAGACTAGCGAACCATCAGGAAGAACAACCTTCAGAACACGGCCAAAGGGACCGAAAAACCCACAACAACCATTAGATCCCGACCGTGAAAGCCTTCGCGAATACATATTTTGCTCCTCCATTGCTTTCCACAAGTTAAAATGTATTTCTCTTCTGCAAGCATAAAGGAGGACCCCCTGCCACCAAATCTTTCTCACCCTGGTGCATCCACGTCTGACTTCTGCTTCTCAGAGGTGCTATTTGGCTTCCTTCTGCAAAGACAACACGAAAATTCGCTCTGAAGCTTGATTGTTAGTGTCCCCTGCCTGGAATCCTCAATGCAAATGAGAAACAGGACAGCCTGGAAGTGACGTCTGTAAGACCAGACTAAAAGCTAGGCTTCCTGTAAACACTAGAACTTCTTCTAAGAGCTTGGAGAAACTATTTTTTAATGCTCTCAAATTCTGGTTGATAGGATGATTCATATCCTGGAGCCACAAAACTCATCTGCCCATAAATAGATCAATGTGAATGGCACATTATTAGCTCACACAAGTGACAGCTGGATCCACAGCCAAATTTGGGGAAAGGGAAGGGACAGCCTAAGGGGATCATTTCAGAGCAGCTAGGACATAAACAAATATATTTAAATTTTCCTTAATTGCAAAGTTAGTTATCCAAGGGCGTTTTTACTCCATGTCCAAAGTCCTGTTATTTCGTGTAGTCAGCTCCACCAGGGCATGCCAGTTGAATCACATGGAATTTGGTGATTCAACTTTTCCATTGGTTCCACTGTTTCAAATGGGTCTACTCTGTGTCAGTATTCTAGGGCAGACCCATTTGAATCAATGGAAATTGTGGAGGAGCAGATTTCTCGAAACCTCAGTACTCCAAAGGTCCTAATCTAGAGTGATTTACTGTGCTAAGCAGCAGGATGTTGGCCAGTGGGTATAATTATGGGAAGGAGGAAGACATTGCCTGCCTCCATATTTTCCCATATTTTTTTCTACAAGTAAAAGAGTTGGAGAAGTAGATCTCATTTATATATGCTGGCACATAATATTAAAAAATGGTTGTTGTTTTTACCATTATTCACATGACTTGCAGCTTCATACCCCTTCATACCCCTTCATACCACCTAGCACCACCGTTTAAAGCATTTCCAACCCCTCGTTCTGAAAGAGGCAGGCAAAAGTGAAAAAAAACCCTACATTTCCTGCCCTCATGCTCATGATCAAAAAGATACATCACAAAAGGAAAAAAGGATTGGGGTGGAGAAGGAAAAGGCTAAAAACAGGCACTTGTTACAAAATTGGTTAAAGTGTTTGTTCTGGATGGGGAGGCAGCTATTCATTTTATTTTATCTTATTTTATTTGGGGGTACATATTTTATTGGGGGTCAAAATTTCTTTCCATCAAAACTGGTGATGGGATGGCCATTGCACCTGCAGATAGAATCTGTCTTGAGCACACGGGGCAGGTAGCTTGGAAGGCCTAACTCTGCTCTGCAAGAGAAGGTGTGCTAGGCAGCTGCTAACGTCTTCATACCACCCAGCATCTACCACCTGAAACAACAGCCTCACTCTCCCCAATGGCAGAGCCAGCTCAATGACTCAAGGTTCAGATTACAAGCCAGGACACAATGAAGCTCTTACAAGGCAAGCTTCCTTACCTCCATCTCTTGAAATAGAATACCAGCAAGCCTAGGATTATCAAGAAGAGCAGCACGGCCACCAAGGGCCCCACGATGACCCCTAAGGACACCGAAAAGAGAATGTGAGAAGTTTGGCCAAAACCTTGGAACCGTGGATGCATGCCTTTCTATGTGAATGATGTGTGTGTTGTGTGTCAACTCCGAAAAGAGAATGTGAGAAGTTTGGCCATGCATGTCTTTCTATGTGAATGATGTGAGTGTTGTATGTCAACTGCTTTCCTTTCATTGATGTCTATAAATGCATAAAATACTTTTGGGGGGAAAGTGCAGTAAGGGAAAACATTATGCAAAGGGAAAAAGTCACATCAGTTTTTGCAAGTGTTTCTTTTCAGAACTACACTTCTAGAATTATCCAGTCTGCATAACTTCAATACTAGTTTGCCCCAATATTTACCTTTTTACCTATATTCTCCCAACTCCTCCAAGTGTCCTCTTTACCTTAAATAACACCACCAGCTAGGCTGCAACCTAGGCTGCAAACTACATGTTATACTGGGCACATTAATTAAACAGACAAACAAAACCACAAGTAATTCAAACCAAACATTTCTCTCTCTCTCTTTTTTTTCATTCTTAACAAGAAAGTGCTCTTGGGTGGGACAAGAGATCCAGATTGCAACCATGGTGTGGCGTTCCCCTTGTGCTCTTTTGCCCAAAACAACACAACGTCACTCCCCAAACTAGCTTTAGCTGCAAAAAGCAGATCCAAAGAGGGCATTTGAGGGTGAAAAGAGAAGGGATTAAACTACCCACGTGCTGTCTACACATGAAGATCCCGAATGAGGTTCCTGCACTGGCCTGAGAAGTGGCTGATCAGAATTATATGGAAGAGTCAACCAGAAGTCACAAAAGGCCTCTCAAGTCCAGCATTCTCTGTTCTCCGGCGGCCAACCCGATTCTGGTGGGAAAGCCACATGCAGATCACCTATTCCCCAGAATACTACCACTGATAGTGGGAGGAAATATGGGGCCATCACAATCAATGCTTTATGTTGTTTCTGAAGGAAGTGTTTAATGTGTCATTTGGCCCCAGGTGCCCATTAGAAGACATCTCACCTGTATTGTCGGTGAAACACTTCACAGACTCAGATATAGCGCTTTGGCTGTACCAGAAAGTTTCCACTTGAATCCCATAACTCCTGGCGGGTTGCAGGTGGTGAATCACTATTGAGTCTTTGCACTGCGTCAGCCACGTTTCCCAAATTTGGCCTGAGACAAGGACCTGGAATTTACTGACCTCACGAGAGGGGCATGTCCAGGACAGCTTCAGCTCAGAGCCCCCAGGCAAAGCCCGGCACCGCACATCATTTATTCGTTCTGGTTCTGCACAGAGGGAAGGCAAAGAAAAATGTGGAAGTTTTCTCCAGACCTTGGGGGAAAAAACCCAGATTGTCTCCATAGCCAGCATGCCATCAGCCATGATAGATGGGGGAATTCTGGGATTCATAGTCCAACCACAATTCTCAGTGTCTCTCCGGTATTTGTAACATCCAGAGCCCTCCAACCAGCATGGCTACTGGTTGTGCTGTATTTCCTTCCCTCTCTTTGTAACAATCGCTTTATTAATTAAATCCCTAATTTTGCAAAAACAGAAGCGAGCCAGAATTGTACCCTTTGAAAATAAAATAAACAAAACAGAACCTAACCTTTAGTTTTCAAAAGTAACTAAAAAGTACAAATGCATGTTCTCTATAAGAACAACAAAAATTGCCTACACACTCATAATAATAGCCTTCTACACAGTCTCTCATCCTAATGTACCCAGTGGAAGAACATAAGAATGTACTATGCACTGAACCCTGTTATTCTTGTACATAATAAACCAGCAGTGTCCACCTCCGTAAAACTATTTTGCTTGACTGAGTATTGCTAGCTGACTAGTAATTACTAGTATTACTAACTCTTGACTGAGTATTACTTGCTGACAGTTTAGATTCTACTTGTGTAAAATTCTGGGATGCTTTACACCCTGACTATGAGTTTAACTCACTCAAGGAAGAACACAAGGAAGACTTAACTCACGCTCGTCTTGCCTAAGGTCCTAGGTTTGATTCATGACATTTCTGATTGAAAGATCACCAAAGAGCAGGATAAACTACCCAAGAACCTCGAAGCCCTAATGGCAGTCATGCCACTTTCCACTATTGGGAAAAGATGGGTCAGTGATCTCATCCAGCAAAAAGCAGCTAGGATGAGGGGGAAGCTTTGCATCTGGTTCCAAATTTGAGAGCCAGTGCACCTTCTCTTCCAGTGCTATATCTCTTTGTTGGAGAAAGCTGTACCTGTTGAGTTTGCTGGCCTTTGTGCTGGGTGGGAATGGCATGACAAACATATGCAAACAAATCTGAGTTTGAGAAGGCTTCTTGTTTGACCTCGCTGCAGGGGGATGCTGGACAGTGTACTCTAAAAAAGTAACTTTTCCAGGCTGTGGTGTAGAGTCAACTTTTGCCCTTGGCCAGCCCCCCACCATAAAAAGCAGTGTTTCCTTGCATGCCAAAACACTAGCCCTCATGAGGTCCCTATCCTCTTTAATCAAGGCTAGACTCCACTCCCTCCTCTGCTTGGTGTTCCCTTTTGTGACCTGAGGATAAGTACTTGTGGCCCCCATGAGTTGAATGCTGCTGCTGTGGGTCACCAAATCCTTCCGTTTCACCAGGCTGAGCAGTGTAAAGGTGTAGTTGGTGCTTGGAGTAAGCCAGGTCAGAACAGCTTCAGTTGAATTATTTTTGAGACACATTTCATTTTCTGTGGATTCTGTTGAATTCTTCCACTGGAGCTTATAGCCACTGACAGTAGAGTTTGGGGGCTTCCAAGTGAACTCGGCCACTGTCTGGTTGATGTTTTGGAGCCTGAAATTCACTGGGGTCAATGGGGCTGAAAGAGAGAGGTCACATCTTAGGGAACTGAATCACCAGCACGTTTTAAAATCCTTATCTCATATTTATAGTGTGAACCCAACTGCTCTGAAGGTTGATCTGAAGGCTTTATACTGTGAAGAAAATGGCAGCCCTCCAGATGCTGTTGCATTAGAGCTCCCATAATCCCTTGCTACTGGCTAGGTTGGATAGGATTGGTGAGAGTGACCATTCAACATTTAGAAGGCCGTACTCTGGCCACCGCTGCCTTATATGGTCTGGGCACAACCTGGGAAAGTTGTTTTTCTAGACTAGAATTCCCTGTAACATTGAATTTTTAATCCCTCAAAGCAATTTTCCCAGTCTCTGCACACAAGTTACTCAATGGACCAACCACATTTGTCAAATCTGACAATGATTTAAGGCAGGGATGAGCAACGCCCAGCAAGCCTAGCCACCATAGGCAGTGGTGGAGAATGCTGGGAATTGTGGCCTAAGAACATCCAGAAGATCACACGGGGTTCAACCCTGCTTTAAAATGATTTTCAGAGGCTCTACTCACTGGTGCTTCTTAAGTTCAGAACATTTGGAATGCACTGCATTTAGGGCCTTTTCTGTGTTGGCCCTCCTGCTCTATAGAATTGCCTCCCAAGGTACAGACAGATGCCTCCCTCCAAGCCTGCTATTACTAGAGCTCTGAAAATATATTTGTTCACTCTGTTTTTTAATTGAACATGTTTGATGGCATTTGCTTCTGTGAAATATCTGATGCTCTGTGATTGTTAAGTACAGTCATTCTGGAGGAAAGGTGCAACATATGTACAATGAATGAGTGAGTGAGTGAGTGAATGAATGAATAAACAAACAAACAAATAAAATAATTATTAGTTGTTTTAGTAATATTAGCAGTAGCTGCACTTATTTCCTGTATTTCCTTGTATATTTTTTTAAAAGTTATATTTATAGTCTAGCTGATTGACCAGTCTAAAGTCATTCAGAAAGTTTCATAGCTCATTGAGGGCCAGCATGTGGATTCCTAGATCTGAGAAAATCCTTCTAACCATTACACTACACTGGCTCTAGCTGCAGCATGCTTAGAGTAGCATGCTCTGGACCCTCTTTGCTCCCATTCAACCTTCATAACAACCCTCAGAGGTGATCTAGATAGACACAATGTAACTGGCTGAAAATCATTCAGTGAGTTTTAGGGCTCAGTGGAGATCTGAACCCATAGTCCAAGCCACATGCCACCTCTCACACCAGTTGTACTCACCTGTCAGAATCCACTTTGTCTCTTCTGCACTATTAACCCCGCTGATATCTGAGGCCACCGTCACTAAATATAAGCAACCTGGTTGGAGTCCATCAATGGTGCAGTTCATGCCATTAATAGTTCTGTTCTCCAATGGCCCTTCTTTTCCAAGAAACCAGCTCACTCTGTACAAATAGCTGGGTGCATTTCGGTCATCAGGAGGATCCCAGGAAATGGAGACACTGTTGGTGCTGGTTTTTGTTATACAGATATTCCTGGGGCTGTTTGGAACTGAAGAAAAAGCAGGTTTGTTAAATACACAGAGACACCTGTGGGCACTGGAAAAATTGGGAAGTGTGTACATTTCCTTTTTTAAAAAAGGTGCAGTGTCTTAGCAATGGACCTCTAGAGGACATGCAGTCAAGATCCTCCTCAAACATAGAGAGAGTCCTGATAATATACTGGACCAAGGTACAAAGGTGTCATTCAGCACAGAATCAGGCTGGTTCAAGGATTTGTTATGACATATTAATTAGACACAAAAGCACATAATCTAGCAAGCCATGGATCTCAGTGAATATTCAAACATTCACTACCACTAAATAATGAGAACAGCAAGTCATATCTAACATGTGTCAAAAAGCCTTGGAGGGCCACAAAAAAACCCCCAAGGAAACACTCCACATGCCCCTCATCTATAGCATGCAATGTGCTAGTAGTTGTCTAGTTCTAGGCAGACTCCACACATCAAGAATCAGGATGAAAACAGGACAAGGCAGTACTCAGGGATGCAGAACCATGGACAGCTCCACGTGGCCCTTGATTGATCTTGAGACTGTGCACAAGATTGCACAATAAGGAGCCAACCTAGAGCAGAGGTGGGCAAAACGCTTCACATGGAGACCAACGCCTCGAAGCCCCCCGCCAGAGCTTCCCAGTAATCTGCAGTGCTCCCCAAAGAACAGGTTTTTAAAAGGTGTGCTTTGCTCCTGAAATTTTGCTGAAAAACACTAATTCTGTAGAGGAACTTCAATAAGGCAATAATCAATTCTAAGTTGAACACCTTCAATTAGAATTCTTTCCCTAGGTGTTTCTCCAGCATTTCCCTTCCTTAACCCTTAACTATTTATTATAAAGGATTAAGCCTTTAGTTATTTAAAAGTGTGTGTCGATTGTTAAATATGAGCTTAACCTTTGGGAACTTCTAACCATCAGAGAATCACTGACTTGTGCCCTCTGTGCTGCTGCTGCTGCCTTAGTAAAAGTAATACTGTAGTAGTGACCTTTTTAAAGGTCAAAAATTATGAATTAGTTCTTTTTTATCAATCATTTAATGACTTGAAGCAATAAATCTGATTTTCATGGAATGAAGTAATCATGTGTGGTGGAGGGAATTTAACATTTGAAAAAATTTTGATTTATAAAGTGCTGAAATGCTGTGATTATTTTTTTAAAAAAACCTCACAAACTATAAACAAACAAGCAAACACACAAAGGAAATGAGCTAACCAGCCATTTTGGCTCCACCCCATTCCACTTCGGTCAGGTCCCCTGGTGTTGTGGTCACTGAGCAGCTGAGTAATTTGAAAGATGCTTCTTGGCCCTACCAAAGTTGCCTAGTAGCACACCTACTATATGATCTGGAGTTAGTCTAAAGAGGTGGGGAGTGAGGAATGGGGTTGAGCTGAAGGGCCCCATTGGCCCCAGAGAAGCAGAAGGGAGAGGGCCATGTTGTCACCGGGTAGGAAAACAAACCGAATTGAGCAGAGCCATTTCCCTGGCTGGGCTGTGTAAAGATGGCAAACATTTTTGTTGGGCTTAACAGTCTTCGTAAAAGTCATGTTTTTCACACTTCTGAAGAACTGTGAGGAAAACGTATACCTTGCCGAGACAATTCCTGCAACTGTGAAGTCTGCATCGCATTTCAGAGAAATTAAGTAGATCCAAAACGCTGCATATGTTTTAAAATGTTAATAATTAAAATGTTCAAAACTGAGGGGGAAATATACAAACATGCCTCTGAATGGGGGAACTGAGTACATTAAGTCAATATGTATGTTTATAAATGCATATGAGCAGCAGGAAAGCTTGGGCACTGACTGAATTTGGAAGTACAGACATGTTATTTATGATTACTACCAGCATACAACCTACCGGGCCAATGAAGGCAAACATTTAAGGACACTAGCCTCTTCTTATTGGAAAGGCTGCTCTTCTTTCAGAGGTAGCTTGTGACCACACCACTGCTAGTTATGGATCACACCCACTCATCCAATGCTTGGTCCATAAACTGCCCTCCAACCCCCACCCACACCCATATGATCCTCTTAATAACTACTGTATTTCTAGGTCTTGCTCTCTTTGCTTTCATCAGCAGATGGCGATTCATGAGACTCACGGGTGGTCACGTTGATGGTTGTCCCATTGCTACAACATCCTTCCAGTGTTCTGTACACGGTCATAGTGTAAGCTTGCCCGGGTAATAGGTCTGAGATGTCGGCTGTAAAATTCCTATAGCCATCGCTGGGGTACATTGCAGAGGCCATGAGGCAGCAGTCGGCTGGAGTTTGCCAGAGAAGAATTACGGAACTGTTGGTCTGGTTCCCTACACGAACGTCATTCACGGGGCTTGGTTCTGTGTAGGAAGAGAATGACAGCTGGACACAAGAGGGCATTGACTCCACACTTATCCAATGCAAGAACCATCTCTTTGCTAGAAACACAAGCAGCTGCCTTATACTGAGTCCAGACCTTCAATATATCTAGCCCAGCATTTCCATTTCTGATTAGGAACAGCTGTCTGGGATATGAGTATTGAGTCTTTCCTAGCTTTGCCTGAAGGCCTCTGCTATTCTCTGGTAGTCTCCCATCCAAGGACTAGCCGGGTCCAATCTTGCTTAGCTTCCCAAATGAGATGAGATTGCCATTGTTCTGGATAATAAGAAATAGTCCCACCAATGATGTAGGCCAGAAGTGAGGTCTAGGTTAAAATAGACACCACTGCCTGTTCACACCACCATTTGCTCACTCAGAAGAAGCAGGTGAACCAGCAACCAAAGTAAGGTTAACTAGCAGAGCCCAGGATTGGGGCAGGGGGACAGGCACCCCATTGAGGCTTGGGTCTTGGCAGGTGACCAATCCCAGCTACTCACACATCTGATAGTGCAGGGGCTTTTCTTCTTTAGGCTAACTCCATCCCTAAGTTTAAGAGATCCTCTCATTGAATTTCCCAAAGTCTTCCCACATATGTGGAATTTGCCCTGCCCCTCCTTCATTGCTAGGAAACATCAAATGCCTGTAGCCCGGAACCAGAATAAATCTTGCAAAAGTGTGCCAAGAAACTTATTTATAACTTTTTTTTGCAAGATGTATTGTACTTCCAGAACGTGCTGTTCCTATAGCCCAGAATGTGGATCATAGCCTTCATTTTCACTTACCACTGCAAATAGAGATATTGCAGTTAGGAAGTAAAGTGGAGTTTGCTTCCACAACCGCCATGGTTTGGTTCTCAGGATAGTCTGTGATGTCGATGCAGCTTTGAACATGGGGCATTATATCCTGTCTTTTCTCTGTAATGACTTGATTACCATCTGAAGAAGAAGCCACTACAACAAAGTTTTCGTCAACTGTCCCAGGAATATGGCAGCAATCTGTGCAGTGCAGATAATTAAACAAAGACAGATTTTAGAGCATATTGATGTCCTTCAGATGTTTTGTACTATAATGCCTATCATCCTATTCACCACAATTCTTCTGGTTATGGATGACAGATGTTGTATTCCAAGTTATTTGTTGGACACCTGGTTGGGTAAAGCCGGATTAAAGTCTCAGCAAGAGGTGACCCTCTCCACCCAACTCATCTTGAAAGCCCATTGGAAGGGCTTTCAAGAGTTTGATGGAAATGGTCAGGCCTAGGGCTCCAATATAGGACAAGCTCCAGTTGCAGGTGCGATGAGCCAGAAGCACAGTTTGAAAAAGTTACCTTTTGGAACAATAACTTGAGAATCCTTAGTTGTGGGATTCTAAGAGTTCTAGTCCAAATATCTAGCTTTCCTAAGCTCTGGAAATATGGTCAGACATGCTTAGAGGTCAAACCACCCAATAAAAAAAAATCAAGCATCAAGGGTCAAAGGCAAAGACACAGTCCAATGACAGAATGATGCTAGGTATGGAAAAAAACAAAGGGTCAGAGGTAGAAAGGTAATCAAAATTGACTTGAATAGCTGCATTCAGAGAAGTCTGATTTTTTAGTCTAAAATTGTGGTTCCCCACCTTTTAACTCCCAGAAGTGCCAGCCAGCAAGATTAATAGCAAGGGATTCTGGGAACTGAAGCCCAAAACATTTAGAGGGCCCAAGTTTGAGACCTTGTGGTCTAAAGCAAAAGGAAAGGAATCTGAAAACAGCCAACAAAATCCAATGGAAAAGGCAGACAAAGGTACTTCTAAAAGAAATAATTTCCTGAACATTTTTGAAAGTATGCTTTTGTAAGACAAGTGATTTCTGACGTGGATTACTAACGGAACTCCACTGCAAAGGGTTCAGTTTGGAAGCTTTCAACATTAGGGCTGATCTACTTTAAATAAAAAAAAAATCCAGCACAGCAGATCATTTACAAATTATTTTTCATGTCATTTGAAATATTTCTGAGCCGTGTCTTTAAATGAGGCTGATTTTTTTTAATGTGAAGAGAAGTAGAGTTTTAGGAACAAGCATGGGCAGAAAGCCCAGTAACATTGGTGCTCATTGAGCTCAAAGTGTCACAAACTGTCACACAAATTATCCTTCTGGGTGACTCCAATTTAAAACTTCCCCCTTCTTCTAACGAATTCAGAAAGCTCTGGAAATATGTCCATCCATCTTCCTATGTTTTTTCTCATTTGGTTGTCATTCTTAACTATATTGCAAATGTTGACTGAGTTTGGAATGGAAGATGAAGTAGTATTGGAAACATCAGCAAGGCATCTGTTCACTTACTTAGAGTAGTCATAGGAGTCATCATAGTCACTGTGGTTTGATTAAATTCATCTGTTGTGAAATAAGGGTGAGAGGAAAACAAAAAATTGTCAAAATATGCATTGAGGATGATCCATATAAGATATGCAAACCCACCATCCTATCTAAAATCTAGAAAAAAAATCTGTTTTTATGCCCATGCACACAAACACCCCTGTCCAGAATGACATCAGGGAAGCACATTGTAGCAAACAGATGACACCTGTGTTTTAAACTGACAATTCTTCGCATTTTTTCAAATGTTAAGCCTTTTTAAATAAACAAGAACAGCCCTGCAAGATCAGACCAAAGGACCTGTGATGGTGTCTTCAAACAGGACTTGGAGAAGGCTTTCCTCCCCGCCGGAAACAAGCTCATTCCATCCACACGTACACCCCTTGCCCTACTGCTTCTGAGCCCCCAGTTACAATGTGGTATTCACTGTTTGAGGTGAAACAGGAAGAGGTTTGCAGCCAAATAAGAGTCTCCACTCTCCACTTCCTTACCCCCGGCTGAAGTACATACACAGGCACAGGCAGATGTGTGGAACAACTGAGCTGTTAAACTGGATGAACTGTTTTGCATGGGGGCAAGCAGAAGTGCAGAAGAGGCTACGTTCTGTGTACCGAAGCCTTTTCCCCACACAAAACCACACACACAGACGCACGCACAAACGCACACACTGTTTGCCACAGCAGATCCTGGCCACAGCCCTGCCCCCATGAGCGTTTGAGGGCCACCTCGAGTCTAAACTGAGATGGACAGATGCTATTTGGAATATGGAAAGAATTGGGGGGTGAAAGGGTTAAGACACTACACACCCACACTGCATCTGTCAACTTCAGATCTCCAAAGCATGACTCCCCAAACTGACAGAAATGACTAATATGTTACTTGCCCCTTAGAGTCCACATAAATAGCCAAATAGTTGTTTATGCTTTTTCCATCACAGGGCACATAGGTTCTCTGAGGAGGCTTTTTTCACTCCTCAGGTATCAGTTTTTGGTAAAATGGTTACCCAAAGTTCCACTTCTTTTAAAGAGCTTTGCTGACTGGCAGAAGTTCAACAGGTGTACCCTTCCCCCATTACTGTATCTCCATGCTTCAGAAAGCTGCCCCTGTTGAATTTGCTTTCTGGGCACAGTTCTGTAGGGAGTTTGAGCTGAAAATCTTTTGCCAATTTTTAAGCAAACCAGAAGTTGGAAAAGTTACTTTTTGGAGGTAAGAAGTCTCAGGCCCATCACCAGCCTATCCATAGTGATGGGAGTTGGTGACTGGGTTTTAGAAGCGGTAGTAGTTCGAAACGTTTCTGAATTAATAGCCCTTTTAGTCTGTCTCAGCATGTTGGCAAAAAATAAAGATTTGTTTCAGTAAGAATTTCCCGGAATCCAAATCCACTTCTTCAGACCCACAAAAGAAGTTCAAAAAGTAATTTTTCCAAGCACTGGAGTGAAAAAAACAACAGTGAAAATCCTCAAAATCAGGGAGTGCGTAAACTCGGGTCCAGCCTATTAACTTGCAAAAACTCACCATGTTGTCCGGGCAAAATGAACAGCAGGAGTACCTGGCAAGGAAAAGGGAAAATGTGAAAGAGGGCCGGTTTTAAGATATTCTGGGAGGAACACTTGGATAAAGCACAGTGGTGTCTTCTTTCCTCCTCCTGCAGGTGGACTTTCTGAAGTTGTGTAATGGCCTAATCATACCTGCTAAAAGAACCCCAGTTACACCGATTCTTTCCATATCTCTTTTGTACCAGTACATTTATTTTTGCAGTCATATGTTATATATAAAAGGTAAAGGTTTCCCTTGACAATTTTTGTCCAGTCGTGTTCGACTCTAGGGGGCGGTGCTCATCCCCGTTTCCAAGCCATAGAGATAGCGTTTTGTCCGAAGACAATCTTCCGTGGTCACATGGCCAGTGTGACTTAGACACGGAACGCTGTTACCTTCCCACCAAGGTGGTCCCTATTGATCTACTCGCATTTGCATGCTTTCGAACCGCTAGGTTGGCAGGAGCTGGGACAAGTGACGGGCGCTCACTCCGTCACGTGGATTCGATCGTACGACTGCTTGGTCTTCTGATCCAGCAGCACAGGCTTCTGCGGTTTAGCCCACAGCGCCACGACGTCCCTTTATGGTATATATACCGGCAGCAATATCCCAACTAGATTTAACAAAACTGATGCATTTCTTCCTATTTGAAACATAATTGCTGGCTACACCATGGAGCTGATTTATGTTTTCTGATGTTTCCTGGGGCAGTGCTCCCCCTCCTTTTCGTTTTTTTAAAAAACATAATTGATACATCAATATAGTGGGAAAGGAGTTATGTTTGGGAACATTTGATCTGTGGTGCCTGCGTCTTGGGAAATAATACATAGCCCTCCACGGTGCCAGCCCCAGCCTCTATGGCTGTGCTGCTTGGCAGACAGTAGATGGAGTAAACGAGACAAATGGCCCATGAAGTCAAACCTCGCCAAGATTGTAAAGCTGTAGATCTCTGTTTATCAATATATCAGCCACATTGAAATAAAATAAAAAATCACAGGGCAGCTGCACAACAATTATGCCTTCTCTGAGGAAAGAATCGATAGCAACATGCACACATGCTATAGGGATGAATTGATATATCTTCAGTACAATTTATAATCACCATCTAGGCAAGGGGGAAATAAACCAGAAATAAGATGCTGTCTGGGAAAATGAGTCAATCTTGGCCGTGCATCGTGTGCTTGGAGATTTATGAAACGATATAAAAAACAGCCATATCTGTATAGCTGGGGCTCTTTTGCCAGGTGTGAACAAGCTATTTTTTTTTCATGCAAATGAAAAAAGAGCTTTCTTTAATGCCGGTCTCCTAGACTTAATCTGGTCTTCTCCACCCAACAGCCAGGGTGGTGTAGGTGATGCAGCATCCAGTTAGGATTCAAGAGACCTGGGTTTCAAATACATGCCTAGTTACAAAAACATTCTCCGGAGAGTAATAGTAGAGCCATTCCTTGTACACTTCACACCCTTTCAAAACCTTGCTGGGGTTGTCATACATCAGAAGTAATTGGACAGCAGAGAACTGACACAATGGCTGACATCATGTTGCTTAGCGTAGTAAATCATAGTAAGGGAACACAACTACTGTAGTTGTGGTTTACTATGCTGAACAGCAGGATTTTAGTCAATGTGTTCTTCTGCATTTATATCCAGCTTTGCTAAACAATAGAGTGTTTTGACTCCTTCCTGTTTTCAGCTTTCTGAGAGAGATCTGTGAGATTCAAGTCAGGCTGACAATAAAAAGTTGTAGGCGAAGGGGTGTGTATATGTTTTAACAAAAGGACTTCAGAGTAAACAGGTACAGTACTTTGCATTTACTGTTTTGCCAGTAGGCCTTATCATTGTAGAAGCTGGGAGTTGATTACCATGGAATAGAGAAGTTTTGCAGGCACGACTGAGTATAAACTATTCTGATGTAGATTTGTTCTCAGCATCTGAAGCTTTTTACTCCCCACTGTCAAATAGAAATCCTGAGGAAAAGTCCTGTGTGACATAAAAGCTGAACAGTAAC